TAGCTGTAGCTAGACCCCTGGATGATACCACTGTCTTGAGCTCACCAGCCTATTGCTCCCTGCTAATAGCATTGCCTCCCTGTGATAACTGGGCCCCAATAATTCCCCTACCACCACTACCAGAACCCAGATTAAGGATGATTCCTAAATTAGATCAACATTACCTTGTCCACTGGATATTGTGCTTACCTGCTGACCTGCTCTTCTAAGTGGGGATTGAGAGCTGAAACAGGCTCTCAGCCTCCTCTGCTCTTGTCAGCAGGACTGGCCAGGGCCAAGCTCCCTCCTCCTTGTAGCCTCTGTGCTCTTCGGGTATGTAAGTGATACTCAGAACTCTATTCTTGGAAATGGAGAAAGGGAGGCTTAAGTGCAGGGGAAGAGGAACTTGAAACAGTTGTTTTCAAGGATTTGAAATGTTGCCGTGTAGGAAAATGACTGGACTTGTTCTGCATGACCCTAAAAGTTAGAACCAGGACTCAAACTAGGTTGAAGCCACTAAGCCGCTGGGGTGAGGAAGAACCATCCTTACCCCTAGCTCAAAGCTAATGCTTCCCAGAGCTAGCACTGAATTCCTTTGGGAGCCCTTCATTATGGAAGTGAACCCAGCATAGGCTGGATTAGCAGGTCTATGTTTTGTTTATTGTTTGCTTCCTTTGCAACATGGATAAAGGATAATATTTACTGGATGGCATTTGCACCTGTGATATATTGCTGTCATCGTATGTTAATCATGAGTAACTGCAGTTCTCCTCCTTTCTCTGCCGGGGCTGCAAGTGAGAGCAGCTTTATTATAGCAACATCCCCGAGTCACTCTTGATTTTTTTAAATTAATACATTCAATCAGTGAATAAATATTGAGTGATTATCATGTGTTAGGCACTGTAATTCTCATATGTTAGGCACTGTGATTCATTCAGTGCTCAGTACTTTTAACTGTTAGGTTAAACCAAGTCCTTTTGATATTGCATTTAGAAACTGGAGGTCACGGACATTGCAGAAAGGGTTCCAGATGGGTTGATTAACACATGACCTTGAATTTTCTTTTAAATTTGAAAAATTCTGATCGAGCTTCATGATTCTAGTCTCATATTGAGTGGATATCTAGCCTCCAAACAGAGTTTTTAAGAATCAAACATGAATGTGGAGTTGGATTGCTCTAGTTTGTACAACCAAATCCTGTATTTATCTACCCAGATTACAGGGCGGGTGCTGTCAACATCATCACTACCTCCCCAGAAGGGACTATAAAGGCAAAACTTTGAAAAAACACTCCTCTTCCTAGACATTTCCTCAGCAATGCCAGCTGGAGCACAGGCCAGGCCATCTGTCAAGTGAATATCCAATCCCTTAGGGTCCCAGTGGCCCAGAAATTGAACTCGATTTCAGTTCTGCAGAGTGGCTTTAGCTAGAACAAGCCTTTGGGCGAGTTGGTAAGATGCATCGTGAATTATCAGAGTTCACCTGTTTGAGCCTTCTTAGGAACATCACCACATATGTTAAGACCTTGCTAATAGTCCTTGTTAAAACTGTCAATGAAATAGGCACAGAAGAAACAGTACTGAGCTTGGCATCCCACTGACTGAGTATGTGCACTGTGTGGAAGGACATATTTGTATAGATACCTGGTTTCAAAAGTCTTGCCATTCCATTCAGGAAAAAAAGGAATCAACACTGAAAGCATGGGATTTCTGTTTGATTGGATCAATAATCATTTGCAGTGACTAACTGCTGTCCACACTTAGAGATGCGGATGTCATGAGGATGAAAGGGGACCTGAAGGAAGCATTTGGTCCATGCAGAACCGTACTCAGCTTGTCTCAGAATATGATGTTTGCAGTGGAGCCCTGCAATCCTGCTTCAGCACAGAGACCCCAGTGATGCCAGTGGGTTTGCCGTATTTCTTTCAGGCAGATCTGGAAAATGACTGACATTATAATGTCCACATTCCTTAGGATATGTTTTCGGTGGCAGCCTTATTGAAACATAATTCCTGTATCATACAATTCACCCATTTCAAGTATACAACTTAATGGTTTTTAGTATATTCAGAGCTGTACAACAACAACCACACAATTTTAGAATATTTTTATTACCTCAAAAAGCAGCTCTGCACTCCTTAGCTATCCTCATCTCCCCCAGCTCTACACAATCACTCATCTACTTTGTGACTCTGTTTGTCTGTTTTGGAGATTTCATGTAAATGATATGAAGTTTTCTTATAACTAATTTCTTTCACTTCGCATGTTTTCCAGGTTCATCCATGTTGTTACATGCATCAGTGCTTCATTCCAATTAATTGGCCAAATAATATTCTTTTACACAATATACCACATTTTGTTTATTCATTCACCAGCTGATAGACATTTTGTATTGTTTCTGCTTTGGGGCTATTATGAGTAATGCTGCTGTGAATCTCCATGTCCATGCCTGTATCAGTTTTTGTGTGGACTTATGTTCTCATTTCTCTTGGCATATACCTAGGAGTGGAATTACTAGGTCAAACGGTAACTCCTATATTTAACTTACTGAGGCATTGCAGGCTATTTTCAAAAAACCAGGCTGTTTTCAAAGTGGCTATACCATTTTGTATTTCCATCATCAGGGCATAAGGGTTCTGATTTCACTGCAGCCTCACCACCAGTTGTTACAATCTTATGCTTTTTGAGTAGAGCCATCCTGGTGGGAGTGAAGTGGTATGTCATTGTGGTTTTGATTTACATTGCCTTGATAACTAATAACACTGAGCATATTTTATGTGCTTATTGGCTGTTATGTATTTATTTGGAGGAATGTCTATTCAGATCCCTTACCTGTTTTTGGTTAGGTTGTCTTTTTATTGTTGAATTATAAGATTATATACTCTAGATAGAGTCCTTTATCAGATATGATTTGCTCACATTTTTTCCCATCGTTGGGCTATCTTCAGTTTCTTAATAGTGTCTTTTAAATCACAAATGTTTTTAAGTTCAGTGAAGCCCAATGTATCTATTTTTTTTCTTTAGTTGCTTGTGCTTTTGGTGTCATACCTTAAACTCCATTGCCAGTTCTGAGCTCATGAAGATTTACCCCTATGCTTTCTTCTAAGCAGTTTGTTGTTTTAGCTCTTAAATTTAGGTATTTGACCCATTCTGAGTTAACTGTTTATATGGTCTAAGTTTAGTAACCAACTTCATCCTTTTGCATGTGGCAATCCACTTGTCCCAGAATCTTTGGCCATTGAGTGGTCTTGGTATTTTTGCCAGGAATTAATTGACCATAGATGTATAGATTTATTTCTGGATGCTAAATTTTATTCCATTGATCTAAATGTCTTTCCTCTGCCAGTACCACACTGTCTTGATTCTTTTGTTTCCATGAAATATTTTAAAATCATGAAATGCATTTCTTAAAAGGCAAAAATTGTGTCACTTTTTGTTATTAAATTAACTGTCAAGTTATGTGTTCAGTTTTCAAGTCATACTCTTTACTCCTTTCTAGTAATAGTGAAAGCACATACAAACATTATTTCTAATTCATACTAATGAGATTTGGCATTTTAAGAAAACTGTTTATTCTTTTTGTTTTGTTTTTTACTGAACAACTTGATTTAGATAATCAAATCTTGCTGATATGTCTAACGAATTGAAGGGAGTTCCCTGGGGCTTAAGCATGATGACATGGGGAGGGGAGGTATTCGCAGCTGGGATCCACATCTAAGTATATCTGTATGGCAGGGCTTCAGGAGAGGTTTGATTAAAATCTAATGAAGGAGTGAAAGATGGGTTGGGAAAGGCTCCTGTCTGTCAAGCCCTTCATCCAGTGAACCCCTGTCCTCTTAGTGCACATGACTGACAGTGGAAATACCTGGAGTCAGGTTGGAGGAAGACAGCCCATAATTGTGTGTCTTATTCTGATCTTTTCAGACTTATTAAAAATAGAAAATAATACTGTAGCTGGATGCAGTGGCAAACAAAAGGCAGCCATTTCTCACTTGGTAACTGTCAGGAAAACAATAGATGTACCTCAACATAATAGAAATAGTCTGCTGACTCTGCTATGGAACAAAGCAACACTCAAGTCTAAGATGATCATATGTGGTCCTAATAAAAGAAGATCACTAGATGCAAATCAGGAAGGTTCATGTTTAACTTAGTTTTATATATTGAAAATGAGAAATAATTGTACACCAGGCTGTCAAAATAATTGAGAAGTTCTGAATCTTAGTCTACAGCCAGAATATTCTCCTTAGGGTATAAGCTTATTTGTTCACTCATTCCATCCCTCTCTCCTCCTCCCTTTCACACTGCACCTACCCTGGTGTCTTACATAAAATATAAGTTCAGTGCAGGAGATATTTATTAGAGGATAGAAAGAGAGGGGGATGGAGGAAAGACTGGGGCAAGAAAAACAACAAAGCTGTAGATGAGACAGGACTGAGGAGCACTGATAAATCAGGAGGGAGCACTAGGGAGGTCCTCTTCATGGCCTCCTCCACTCCTGCGCATCTTCCCCATTCCTGCAGTGCAGCAGATGAAGGAATGACTCGGGATCAGGGGGTCTGTGTCACTCAGGTCAGTCTGTTCATGCTGCACCAGAGGTTCTCCTTTCACAGGACCCTTTCACAATTAAATCTCAGCTTGCTTTACCTAAAACTGTAAATAGTCTTCTCAAAGAAATCACTTGTTTTATCTCAAATTCAAGTAACATTTATTTTAATTTTAATATTACTACAATAACACAGATTTATTTGTCAAAAAACTGTGAAAATATGGAAAGAGCATAAATTGATGTGTATTTGATTAGACATTAACTTGGCTGTTATTTTAGAGAATTTTTTTTTTTTACTTATTTACTACTATTGTAGTTTTTCCTCTACTTTGCAGTTTGTTCAGAAAGGAAAATGAAGCTCAGTGTTTGGTATATACATTTGCGAGTGTTTTTATAGTGAAGTGAACAAGTATCTTTCACAGTCTATATCCACCTGCCTTTTTGTTTCTAACTTTCTTTCTCTCTGGTTATAGGCTAAGAAGAAGGAGAGAACTCTCACCACAGCATTTCACAGCAAACACATTGCCAGAGCTTTGAATACTTATTTGGACAAGCATTTCTCCAAGGTAAATATCACCATTGTACCAATAACAGGGCACATCATTAGAATTTGCAAAATGCAGTGGCATGGCACAAAGGCTTAATTGTTTAGTCTAATACAAACCTGGAGTGATAGGAGACAGAAAGAAGAAAACAGAACTGTTGGGATATCCTGCAGTCTCCTCTTAATGTGTTACCAGAAGAATGCCACCAGAATCTGGGAGCTCACTGAGCTGTACTAAAAAATGTGTGGGAAAAAGGGAGGGAAAGGGAAGCTATATTTTTTTTCTTCCTTTTAATCTCTCTCCGATATTCATGAAAACAAAAGGCAGCATGGCTTGATTATAAAACTAGCATCTCGTCTTTTATGGAGAAAGAGTTGGGTAATTCTTTTTAGGTTTAAATAAAATACATGCTGTATTCATGTCACAAGAGGGGAAAAGAAACCTGAATCATATTTCACACCAACTAAGACTTAGAAATATGAAAGATTTTAAAGATATCCATGGTCTTCTTTTATGAAAATACCTAGTAAATGAGCCTCTGGTTGGTGACAAATTCTTCATGGAGTTCTGGTTTTGGAAGGATCATATCCTGAATGCTTCGTTTGGCAAGCAGAGAAGGGCGTGTGTGTGTGTGTTTGTCTGTGAGAGAGAGAGAAAGAATAGGAGAGAGAGAAACGGAGAGAGAGAGAGAAACCAAAGAGAAGCCTGTCAGTGTCATACTGTATATTTCAGATGAGAAACACCAGGCACTTTCTTTATGAATCATGAGCTTAGCAGGAATAAAGGCTTAACAGAAGCAGCTGAATTTGTAGTCAGCTTTAGCATTCATGAATTAGCTGCCAATATTTTAACACAAATTGCTGTGTCATTTCTATTAAGTTCCCCTGTTGCTGCTCAGTCTGTAGCTAAAAGCTGTTTTTGCTAAGACCTGAAATTATATCTGATGAAATGCATCCTTCCTTCCTGATAAAGATACTTGTGTACACATACACACAGAAATGCAAAAAATGTATGATCCAATTTAAAAGAAAATAAACGTGTCAACTTTCTCTGGTTAGCATTTAATATACAGTTGACATTACCTAGTCCTTAGCTTGCTAGAATGCAATTTCAGTTTGGAAGGGGAGAATGTTTTCCTCCTCAGCCCTTATCCTGGTGGTTCTTTTCTGACAGGGTTGGGTGGGGGAAGTGGAGGCGGTACATTAGAGGAGAATTTTGTGATACTATTCATTCTCTGTGCTGACAGAGAAGACATTGTTTGTTCACTGTAATAGGCTTGGCAGGAATCTGTGCTGTGCATACAGAATGGGAAAATAGAGCAGTGGGGAACCTCAAAATCCTAAGTAGTAGATCAGCCTAGAGATTTTTTAAAAATATATATTTTAATAGCCTCTCAGAGGCAAGTCATAATTTGGGGAAATAATTTTCCTTTAAGTGGTAGTTTTCTGCTCATAACATTATGCATGTATTACATGAAAAAAACTCTTGAAGATAGCACTGCACCTATCTTAATACTGCAGTAACAAGAACTGAAATCATCAAAGTTTAGAAATACTTTATAAATACACCAGACGTGCTCTGAGATGACTTCCTGTGCATTAGCATTCACATGGGTATAGATGAAAAATAACCTATGTACGTCCTCTGGTGATTCACAGAAGCAAGTGTGAGCTGCTAAGACAAGAGAGAAAAAGACACATTAAAAGATGTGCCCCGAGGTAAGAAGTGAACTGCAAGGGAAAGTGTGAAGGGTACCATGTCCAAAATGGCCAGAACTTCGAAGTCAACAACTGTAAAAGTAAAGGTTCAAAGCAGTATGCAAACTCTGCCTAGGAAACTGAGGTGGCAGAAATGTAAATCAAGTCTGAGGCCTGGCGTTTTCTGCTTCTTAAGCCTCTGTGTTCACCCTCGTTCCCCATCCTCCACCTCAGCATATGGACTATGTGATACCATGGTCCCTGATAGCCCCAGCTGTCTGGAGACTCCGTGTGTGCACATGTGTGCATGGGTGCTTCTTACTAGAGCAGAAAAAGATGTTGCCAGGCCGCAGGATGCTGTGTTCACAGGCAGAGACCCGGGAGCCTCTGAGACCAGGTGCGCTGGGGCCACCCTCAGCCAAGTTCCAGAGCCCCTAGTCCCTGTGCTCAGAGAGAGATTCATCATCGCCAATCTTGTCTTGTATTTGTAAGAATTCCCTGCATATTTTTACAAGAACTCTGTCATATCAATTATGACATTTCTAAAATTAGTTACAATGATGTCAGTATACAGCCGGCCATTAGATTATTGCAAACCCTTCTCAGCTTCTTATGTAACATAAGGATTAACCTTTTATACCTAAAGCAGATCTTCTACTATACCACTTGTGAATCCTTCCTGTATATTGTCTGCTTTGTTGTTTTTAAATTTCTGTCTTTTAAAATTTGTATTTGACAATCTTTTAAAAGACGTATTTTTATAACCTTTTAAAAATACATAAAATATGTTTATATGATGATATTTTCAATAACAAAGAAAGCAACAAAAATTAACCAAGATGTTTCCAAACTATTTCCCTTTACTGCTTCAACATATTGGTATAAAATATATTTATTTTGTCTGTTTTTACAGCATATTTTTGGCTATTTTTAACAACCAAGTTAGGCACTGTTAAGGGAGGGGAGGTAGAGGTTGGCCAGCTGGTCCATCTGTGACTCTGGTGGTGCTGCCGTCTGACCTGCTCTCTTATTCCTGTTCTGCTGGAATCCCCAGTAACCACTGCGTCTGAGGTCTGATACTTATTAACAAGCTGGTGACAGCTGGGCTCTCCATAGCATGTGCCCACAGCCCACCCAAAGCGGTGGGCACTCACAGGCAGCTAAGTCCATGCACACTGCTAGGAACGGAAGAGCCCACTTTCCTCCTTTGTACCCTTGTAACTAGTCAGGCCTGGCTGACTTAAAATGAGGAGGGTGACGTCTTGTTTCTCCAGTGTTATGTGTCATTTTTGACTACTCTGAAAAGAAGCTCATACAAACAGAGGGAAATTGGAGGAAAAACTAATGGCACAATTTTATTTAACAAATACACTTACTGTAAGCGAAACATGGGTCTAAGCACTTTGCAAATATTAAATCATTTAATCTGCCTGAGTGTCCTACTATTTTTCCATTTTACTGAAAAGGAAACTGAAGTTCAGAGAGGGTGAGTAACTTGTCAACCAAAGTCTCACAGGTACTGAGGGAGTATAGTGCTGGCCTCAGGGCTGTCTGTGCCAGAGTTCAGATGTTAGGGCTCCATGTGCCCAACCACAGGCACCTCCTGTGCCACACCAGAGCGTGCTTAACTGTCACATCCCCTTGGGGTCTATAAACACCTATATGGTCCCCACAGAGGACACACATTGTCATTTGAGGAGCTGTTCATGCTTTGCCTCTTGGTGCTTGTCAGTGGAAGAAGAATTTGTAACTTCTGTCCTTCCCAGAATCCATTAATCAATTAATCCATTAATCCTGAGCACCCCGTCCCTCAGCTGTCAGGATGAGCTCTCCTGCGCAGCGTGCTTGCACAGAGTCACCTAGCAGCGCTGGGAGAAAGGCCAAGCATGGTGGCTGTCCCTCTTCCTCACCACCTTTTTCACCAGGTGGGTGCTGCACCTTTTCATGCATGATGGCCCTGAGGCCATCAGTGGCACTGGACTTGCCAGCATTGAGGGAAGCCACCATTCAGGCTGACGCGTCAATGAGGTAGATGTTTGACTATCTTCTTTCTCACCTACCCTGGGGATTTAGACAGCTGCCTTCTGGAGGACTTGCCTTAGCCCAAGACTTCTCAAAGCATGGAGACGTCTGGCCTTGACTCTGGTCCCTGACATATTCTCCAGATCCTGGACGGCTGTGTGGTGGGTGGGAAGCCCAGGGTCTGAGTTGCTCTTCAAGAGTTGATGGTGACATGTTAGTTAATGAAAACAATTATTGTCTATTTTGGTATCGTTGGATATTATACATAGTTTGAAACTTACATATTTGGTCCCCAAATCAATCACATACCAGCATGCCTTTTGAAAAATGTGTCTGCCAGTCAGGCACTTTATTAGATAATGAACATAAAGTTAATTAAATAGTACATCCCTTGTTAAATAGTGAAAAGTCAAAATAGAATTATTAAAGTTTGTATTTGAATGAACATAATGCAATATTTAACAAAAACTTACCTGAAATCAAATAATTTTATTAAATCACTTCTTTCTTTATACCACAAAAATTTTAAATAATTGAAATACCTCCTATGGAGGTTTGCAGAAATAAAACTGTGCAAGTCAAAACAGGTGAAGCCTTTAATGAAACCAGGAAGAGATACAGCAGGAATTATTTGTATTCAGTTTAAAGAGAATCTTGCCATTCTCAAGTAAATGATTAGTAATTGGATACTATGAGGTCTGGTGAAGGAAGCTGAAAGATCTCTGGCATCATCAATTGATTAGAAGAAAATGTTACGAAACCACCCCTGCCTTGCCCCACTCCCTCCACATCCGCTGAGTTTCTGTGTTTCCTGTCCTAGTGCTCAGTGAAAATCGGTGGTTACCTCTTCAAATGAATGCTGTTGTAAAAATCCTTGTGCTATTTATGTTTTCTTTTCTTCCTGCAAAATATACATAGATATGTATACTATTTTGAAATGCCGATCATAAGTCAATGGCATTTCCACTATTTATTGCTCTTTTTACAACAAAAGGTGATTTCTTCCTAAGTCCTATTTTTCTTAATCAGGTAAAAAGTTCTTAGAGTTTAATTTTTTTGTGTTCTGGGACACTGGGGCATTATTTGTGCCATCTTGTTTGGTGAGCTTATTAGTTTTCATATCTGACACCACTATTAATTTTTTATTACAGTAAATAAATATCACATCTATTATATCCAAATGCTGCCAATGAATTTCAAAATTAGCATTATAATTTTCCAGTCAGTATTCATGTTCATTAGCTGTTCTCATTGTTAATTTAAAAATCTAACTGTCATTGGAGTAACTGTTCTTTCATAAAG